GTCTTTGATGGTTCCATATAAATTTTATTATGATTTGTTCTAGTTCTGTGAAATATGTCCTGGGTTATTGGATAGGGATTGCATTGAATCTGTAGATTGCCTTGGGCAGTGTGACCATTTTAACAATATTGATTCTTCCAATCCAAGAGCATAGAATATCTTTCCATTTTTTAAAGTCTTCTTTAATTTCCTTCATCAGTGGTTTATTTATTTAATCAGATTTCCCAAACAAGTAATTAAAATCATAATGTATACTCTCACAGATTTAATTGCTTTTGTCACTTAAAAAAGCGGGCAGAACACACTTTAAAATTTAAAGAATTTTAAAAGGTATGAACTTACACTTAATCGAGTTACAAAATCATCAACATAGTGTGGATAGATCTATTTCTACTAACCTTGTTTATTCTTATTCTCAGTCAACATGCTCATTTTTCAGCTGCTTCTTATGCCTGCCTGGGTTATAATAATTTCGTCAGATACATTTCCATATTTCCCTTAAAATAGAGCCATCTTCCAAGCCGGGGGCAAAAATAACAGATTCTTGTCTCATGGAAGCTGAGGTTGCAAGGTCCTGGATGATTGGTCGATTCTTCGTTGGCGTAAGGAGCTAACTGTATTTTCCAAACCTCACCAGCAGTGCTTCAAACTGGGTACTTTCTTGTTAAAAAAAACTCACCTCCACGGCTACATCGGGGGGACGCTGAGCCCAGACTTCTTCATAGAGCTTTCACTTTGCAGATCCTGTCCCCTTTCCAACGATCCTGTTGAGAGATTTTACTTAGCCTGTGTTGTACACCTCTGTCTTCACCTTTCTGTTGACCTCAGCTCTTAGGCCAAGTGAAAACATCCTTGACTAGTTAACACCGCATTACCAACAACGTAGGGGCTTTATTCCCAGGGGACAAAGGGTTGCGTTCAAAACTACCTCTCCTCTTGAGAACTTTGTCTAAGCCATCATCCTAGCTCCTCTTTATATCTGTCATTGTGTCACCACCAGGGCAGGTTAGCCATGGGCTGTCATGCATGTTTATTTGGTTGACGAGTTCTCTCTGTTCCTTCCCAGGAGTTTATGGCTCTGAGCTCCGTGTTCTCATTCCTTCCTTCAACTGACAGAGAAGACTTTGTACTTTATGAGTAGAAATATGCCTCATCATAGAAACAATATTCAAATGCTCCAAACTCATTAAAAATCAATACAATTATGTATTTTTAGAAATACCATTCCCTTTGCACGATAAATAATTGCTTAAACACATCACATTCATTACTCCATTTTGAGTATCCTTTTGAATGTATGGCTTGTCACAGATTCGACTTGTTCCATTTAATTACAGTTTTTTTTTTCCATTGAGAGTGAGCATCTGAACGTCTGATGTGACTCCTTTTCCCTGTCATCAACACTTTTGAAACCTGTGAAAAGATTCCTGCTCTTTCTCAAGATAGTCCTGATCCACTTGAGTTTTCCCTACAGTGGGACATGAACACAGCTTCTCTCCTTGTTTTTTTCTTGGTGTTAGGAGTGTGCCTAAAATCATCTTCATCAAAGAGAAAGACAGATATCATGTGATAGCATTTGTCTGTGGAATCTGATAATAGGACACAGATGAACTCATTTACAAAACAGAAACAGACTCACAGACAGAAAACAAACTTACAGTTACCAAAGGTGGGGGATAAATAAGGAATCTGAGATTAACAGATGCACACTACTACACATAAAATAGATAAACAACAAAGACCTACTGTGGAGCACAGGGAAGTATATTTAATATCTTGTAATAATTTATAACAAAAAAGAATATATAAATGTATAGCTGAATCATCATGCTGTACACCAGAAACTAATGCAACATTGTAAATCAACTATACTTCAATTAAATAATAAAGTTAAAAACAGTGGAGAAAAAAAAAGATCGTCATATCATTGGTAGCCAATGTGACACTGGATCAGGGTACTTTAGCGAGAGAATTGCAAACAATGAGTTCACAGTGTTTCCTCTTTTATAGAGGTCTTCCTCTACCCCTCTTTCTTTGTTGTAAGACAACAGTTTTCCATTTGCCTTCTTTACAAGATACTGATTTAAATCATTATCTCCTCCCTCAAAGTTTAACTGTGTTTCCTTCTTCTTATAATCCTTATAGACGTCACTGACAATTGTTAATTTTTTGTATACATTATTGAGTTTACTACAGAAATTCCACCTTTTAGAATTTTGGGTTTTCTGTACTATGTTTCATTTACAAAGAACCGTATCAAAGAATGAAGATGTTTCCATGAGATGTTATAAAATATGAAATTATAAATAATCGTTAATTTGCCTCAAACTGCTATGAATACTAATGCATTTGTTTACAAAGACATTGACCAAAGGGACTGAAATATCTCATCCACTACATGTATTTCATAGGTCAAAGGACTTTCATTATGTGTCTATTATTTTTTTTTATTGAATAATGATGCATCTCGCTAAACTGGATTTCATGTACTATTAGGAGTACATCCAACTTGAGTAAATGAATAAGAACCGTAAACTCTGTACACTCTAATTCACCAGGAACTTGGAACAATTTGGGACTGAAATTGTGTAATTAGCTTGGCTTTCTCACAAGCACATTTTCGACATGAGAGGACAAATCTCACCAAGAGCAATAACACATCCGTGACAGCCCATCAGTGGGACAGAGGACAGTAATTCTGGCTATGTGTCTTCTTCTGGAAAACTTGGAAACACAGTGGGCAAATATTCAAAACTGGAACGAAACACAGCATCTCAGAACTACACAGATGTTGAAAATCATAAAATAAGAAACTGGCATGCTGCCGAGTTTAATTGATAAATAGATTTTAAAGCATTATTCTGTGGGACACATGGTTGTTCTGGTTTCCAAATTCAGCGAAAGAGGTTCCACCTGGTGAAGAGACTTTCCCAGAGTTATATTATTTGTAACCCTTTTCATTTAAATGTGATTTGGATCTGAAAACATAGAACAAGAACATCCTGAAAGTGCTTCTTGTTTTCTTCACTGAGAAGTAGATTTAATTTGAATTTTATTTTGCTTTAAGATGAGGTACCCAAAAGGACCACCTCAGGCTCTCTGCTCTTCCCTCCTCCTCTTCTCTTTCTTTTCTTAAAATCGTAAGACTGGGGAGAATGGCCTACCACCCTAACTTCAGGTACGATACGGGAAACTGATGGTAGGAATACTGACATGTGTTTGAAAGAGACAGAAACTGACATCTTCACATCTGTTCCTGTCATAACAGTATAAAGCACGTAAAAGTCTCTTTAGAGGCAGTGCAATACTATATTTAATATAATAAATATTGCTTATTAGACTTTGCTGTGTCAACATTTTAGTGAATTTTCCAGGAGACTTACTTGTGGTCGTAAAAATGATACGGTCTGTCACTTTTTTCCTTTTCGCAGCTAATCACTGAGAGTTAAGAAACTACAGAAGTGAGCTGTTTGTCATGAGATCAGTTGACCTACATCTTACAAAGAACCCTGCTTTTTCTTAGAAACAGAAAGCATCTAGCTCTCCTCTTGGTTTGAGACTTTTTAAAGAACTTACTTCTTCCTTTTGCTTTGAGCAGTCAGTGCGCTGAGACTGAGCGGGTTGCTCACCTCTCCTGCAGCACCGTCACCGTCCCTTTGCAGAGTCACTTGTGAGAGGAAGTCTGTGCGCTCCCCTAAGGGTTCAGAAAAGAGACTCCGACTTTTTTGATATGAGCCAGTATGCAGTATCTATGACTTTCTGAGAAGTCCTAGGTAGGGAGGGAGGAAGAGAATGTACTGAAAATATGCATCATTTCCAGTTAGCCAAGAAAATTGGATCTAATTAGCAGGTTCAG